AATGACCATTGACGTTTTAAAATCCAGTCCTCAGATCACAGACTACTTTCTAGTTATCCCCACTCTGACTGCAAAAACTCCCCTCTGATAGCTTCCACTTTCGGCTCCTGATATGTGTGCTGTAAGAACAGTAAAGCCAGAAGACGGAGCAGGGAGGCAAGGCAGTTAGGTAAGAAACTCTGCAGCATACAGTCGAATCTTTTTATCTTTTAAATCTAGATGGACAGTCTCTGCCTTTTGATTGGAATGTTTCATCCATTCACATTTCATGTAAACATTGATACGGTTGGATTTACATCGGCCACTTTGCTATTTCTTTTCTATATGGTCTCCTGTCATTTTTGTTTCTCTGTTCCTCCCTTACTTCCTTTTTTGTTTAGTTAAATAGGTATTTTCTAGTATACCATTTTATTTTTTTGCTTTAAAAATTGTCCTATATTGTTTTTTAGTAGCTTCTCTAGAGAGTATATTATGATCTTCAGTTTATCATAATCTACTTCAGATTAATACTAATTTAATTCTGGCAAAATGAGGAAACTTTGCTCAAATAGGACTCTCTTTCTTTTCCTTTATTTCATCTTTATATATTATAAACCCCCAGATAGGGTTATTATATTGTTGTTTAACATTGTTTAGCAGGGATGTCCAATCTTTTGACTTTCCTGGGCCACATGGGAGGAACAAAATTGTTTTGGATCACATAAAAAATACACTAACACTAACTAACTAGCTGATGAGTTTAAAAAATTGCAAAAAAAAATCTCATAATGTTTTAAGAAAGTTTACAAGTTTGTGTTGGGCTACATTCAAAGGTGTTCTGGGCCATCTGTGGGCTGTGGGCTGTAGATTGTACTAGTTTGGTTGAAAGAATTAATCTTATGCCTTTAAAATGCATTAAGGGGAGAAAAGAGAAAATATTTGCATAGTCATTTATTTTTACCTATGTATTTACCTTTCTGTGATCTTTTTTCTTCATACGGATTCAAATTACAGTTCAATGTCATTTCCTTTCAGCCTGAGGACTTCCTTTATTATTTCTTATAAGGCAGGTTTGATTCAATGAAATCTCTCCATAGTTAATTATCTAGGAATGTCTTTATTTTGCCTCATTTTTGAAGCATCAGTTTCCTGGATATAGAATTCTTGGTTAAAAGAGACTTTTTTTTTCTTTCCTCAGCCTTTAAATAGGTGATCCTGCTGTCTTCTGGCCTACTGTTTCTGATAAGAAATCAACTGTTAATCAGATTATTGTTCTCCTATATGTGATGAGTCCGTTTTCTCTTGATGCTTTCAAGAGTTTCCCTTTATCTTTGGCTTTTAACATTTTGACTATAATGAGTTTGAGTGTGAACATTCTTGTGTTTATCCTGCTTGGAATTCACTGAGCTTCTTGAATGTGTTGATTAGAGGTTTTCATCAAATGTGGAAAGTTTCTGGCCACTAGTTTTTCAAATATACTTTCTGTTCCTTTCTCTCTCGTCTTGTCTTCTGGGACTTCTATTATAAGTATGCTTGATGGTATTCCACTGTTCTCTGAAGTGTTCTTCATTTGTATTTATTCTTTCTGGTCTTCAGATGGCATGCTTTCTATTGTTCTGTCTTCGAGCTTGCTTATTCCTTCTTCTGCCATATGATATACTCTTTTAAGCCTCTCTAATAAAGTTTTATTTGTTGGTATATCTTTCAACCCTAGAATCTCTGTTAAAAATATTTCTATTGATACTGCCTATTTGATAAGTCATTGTCATAATATTTTTAAAATTCATTAAATATAGTTTCCTTTAATTCTTTGGGCATATTTATAATAGTTACTTTGACATCCGTCTGCTAATTCCAGAACCTGTTTAGAGACAGTTTATATTGACTGCTTCTTTTTCCTCCTGAGTGTGGGTCACACATTCCTATTTCTTTGCATATCTCCTAATTTTTGGTGAAAACTGGAAATTTAGATAATATAAGACCTCTAAGCTCTGATTTTTCCTTGGGGATTGTCATTGTTGCTTGTTGTTTGTTTAATGACTTGTCTGGTCTGAGTAAGGTCTGTCTCCCTGACAGTATGTAGCTACTAATGTCTCTGCTCAGTTCTTTATTTCTGATTTTTATTTTAAACTGGCTTCCTAGGGATTGCTTCTAGGTCAGCATAGCTTAGTGGTTAGCCAGCAATTGCTCAGAGGTTGTACTCAACATCTTAATCTGGTAGGGTCTCCAGACTTTGCTGAAGAATCTGTGGATAGATTGGGATATACATTCAATGTTCAGTCAGCTTATAAGTCTCCCTGTTTACTTTCCCTTATGCCCTTTGTGTCTCCTCTGTCCATGCGCAATGCCTCACTTTCATCTAGGGCTGTGTGGATAGCTGGGGCGCCCTGTGATCTCTCCTGAGTGTGAGTATAGCCTTGTACATGCACACAGCCTTTCAGACCACCATGGTTTTGTGGGAGTGTATCAAGACCCCAATGTTTTATTTTCTGGATCTCTTTGCTGTATATCTAGCTTGTCTGCCATTTAGTTGATTGCTTCACCTTGGCATTGATCTTGCTTATTTATTTGCCACCAAGATTGCTACTGTTTATGACAATGCCCAGGAGATCGCTTTGCTTTGTTTTGCAATATGCTCCAAATCAAGCCAGCCACCACCTTCCTTAGCAAAGCTGATGATTTTCATGTCTTGTTCTACCTTAATTGAAGTACTATTTCATTGGAGGGAGAAGTAGATGGGATCATCTCCTAAGCTAAAACCCAGCAGAGTCCCACTGATCTTGGATAAACATTTTTCAATTGATGTGTGTCTTACATCAATGTCCAAACTTTTTATATTGTTGTTTCTGGCCATTTCCTCCCACAGTTATATCACTGTTGGGAATAGGATTTAGCAAACTTCTCACCACCATTCCAGAAGTCACTCCCCCTCCTTGTGTTTTGGTCATTTCTGACTCTGCCACTTTTGTGTAAAATCATTTGCCTACCTCATCCTTAGGAAGCAGGTAATAGTCAAGTAATCTTATCATTTATGCACCACAGGGCAACCTAGGCCTCATCTGGGATATGGTAAAATAAACATGGTGTATATTCTAGAAGTTTATATTTTACTTGAAGATTTAGAGTGAATGTTACGTAGGTGGTAATTTAAAAATAAACCATTATTTTCAAATTAATAAATCCAGATATAGAGTAGAAAACAAAATTCACAAAAAATATTTTATTCTTTTTAAAGATAAAGCCATATAAGATATCAGAGGAATTTTACACTTATTGGGGGTGCTTTGGAGTAGCCCTACAGGTTTCACCTCATGCTCAGAAGTATTTCCATTGGAAAATTACAGAAATACTATAGAGATTAGGCCTAAAACAGTTAATATTAGGTAATATAGACTTTATGGTAAGAAAGCTTTAGGATTCATTAAACTTAAAAAGACCATTTTGTAATAATATAAATGATAACCCCAGTTCAGTCTTAATGACTGAAAAGATTTGTGAATTCTCAGTGCAGTGTATTTCTGTATTTAAAAAGAAATCCAAACTTAATGAATGTATTGCTTGCAGTCAAAAACCTTTGGGGTGGAGGCTTAATTTCTGCATCACCATTTTTTGTGTGGGGCACAAAGTTTAAAAAAAATTCAATTTGAATGCTGTGTTCTTGAGGAAGAGGGGGATGCACTCTCATCTATTAAGATGGTTCTGCTTCTCCCTATTTGCCTCAAATGCTTCTCCCTATTTGCCTCAAATTGGGAAACCTCACTTGTTTAGGTTTTTTTTTTTTTTTTTTTTTTTATCATCTCCCAAAGCCATTTGACTTTGCTACCCTTAAATTGGTTGAAATCTAGGTAAGAGCTAGGATGGAACAGAAGTTAGAACCTTTGTCTGCAGGCAAAGTGGCCATTGGGATATAGGTGGAACTTTTGGATGGTTGGAAATAGGACAGATGAGGCAAAGAAATTGTGGATGCAGAGGACGGTCCCAAGTGCAGGGATCATTCGTCGTATATGGTTCCAGACCTAACAAAACAGCAGTTCAGGAAGTCTAAAACCAAAAAATTGTGAATACTTGAGAGCTGTGAGTGAATATGATTATCATCGCAACTTCCACAGACTGAGCTCCAGTCCCGCTCCAGGTCCTCTGCCGGGTGCTTCTGCCCCATCCCAACTCCAGGAAGTAGCACAAGAGCCAGGGAAAGAAAAGTGGAGTCCAAAAGGGAAAAGAGGTGGGAGACACGGAGTGCACGCTCTGTCGCAGCTGCTTCAACTCCTGCATGCATCAGTCTTACCCACCAACAGACAATAGGGGAAATTACCCATTTTGCACCTTGAGCTTCACAGAATCCTAGCTCTTAGACCTGGAAGGAACCTTGCTAGGCTATCAGGTCTAGCTCCTGATTCCAACAAAGTAAATTATTGTTATCATTAGTCCCACAGGCAGCTAAGACCAGAAAAGAGCCCTAGAGACTTAGAATGTCCACAGGGACCTTACAGCTCATCCAGTTTCCTCTCCTACTTTTTATAAATAAAATAACTGTTCACAACAGGGGTCATCCAAGGAGAGAGGACAGCAGTGCCAAAACTAGAACCAGTTTACAAGCCAAGGCAGTTTGCATCACGCCAGGAACCCTGGCCCATCTTTTAAACAGTGGCTTCACCTAGTGAATCCATTTGATTTGCATACTTCTCTTTGGGCTTAGCAAGTGTCCACTTTTTCAGGTTCTGATTTTGAGTGGAATCTATAGAAAACCAGGATTTGGTGCTCTCTTTCTCCCTCTGCTGGCTCTCAAGGCTGAGTCCCTGAAACTGACATAGATACTTGGGCCGAGAAATGATTTCAAATAAAATGGAGGCATGCATGTGGGTTGCTTTAGAAACAAGGGAGAAAGAGAGCACCAAATCCTGGTTTTCTATAGATTCCACTCAAAATCAGAACCTGAAAAAGTGGACACTTGCTAAGCCCAAAGAGAAGTATGCAAATCAAATGGATTTACTAGTTTAAGTCTCTGTTTAAAAGATTGTATATATATATATATATATGTTTCCCTCCCCGCCTTTCCTGGTTTCTCTTGACTACACACAATGGCAAAGCAAAAATGGAAAACTTGAAAAAAAAAAAAAAACTTGCCAGCATTTCTGTGATTCAGCTGGCAATTTGCTATGGTATCCAGGGAGACAGCTTCTCACATACATTAGCATAATGTGAAATGGCAGCTAGAACCAGAATTTACTGTCTAAGCAACTCAGCCTGAACAGTCGTTCACAACAATGCAATTTAAAGGAAAGCCAAACATTAGGCTTAAATGACTGATACAGCCCTGAAATCTCTTCATTTTAAACATATGGGGTCCAGCTTCTTCCCTCATTTTTACTCTGTATGCTTGGGGCAGTTGGCTGGGACTCAGGGTTAACAAAGGAAGATATTGTGGCTACTTCAGACCCAATATAGCGTTCAGCTGGTATCAGCTCACTCCAGGTCTTTATCATCAAAATGCATTTTCTTTCCCTTTTGATTTTTTTGAGACTTTCCATTTCCATTGGAATCCAAATGCTGACATTTCTTCTTCCTGTATTTTCCCCGTGAGCCTTGACATAGGAATGTACCTCCTTGCTTCCCAGTTATCTGGACACCAAACCACTGCAGATAGCAGCACAACCTTGAAAAGGAGCTTTGTTCCTAAGTAGAGGGGCCCAGCAAGCTGAGGGAAGACAGGGCGTGATTCCTGAGGATTTCAGACGTTGTTGTAGCCAAAATGCTTACTGACCTCTGGCTTCCCTGGGCATTCCTCTGGCTCCTTCTCCACCACCACCCCCTTCTTCTGCCCATATAATTTCTTCTCTTGGGTTGAGGACCAGACTCAGTGGAATAGTGGCTATAACATTTTCCAGGCTGATGGGATACATGGGCATAGGTGGCAGTTTCCCAGGTACAGGCTTCCACATGTTGTTCCTTCCAATCTACCACCTTCCATTGCTATTTATGCCAGACTTAGAAATCCCAAATAACCCAGAGGTAAGACCTCTCCCATGTTGTACATGAGGATGAGAGGACAGAGTGAAAACTGGGGTAGGGGAAGGTCTGTCTGTACACATTAATCAGGGAGGGCCGATCATTGAGACTACACAAGGACCTGGAAGTGAAAGCAGAGTAACAATTTTAGGCTTTCAGACTTGCCTTATGATGATGACAGGCGATGGCCCAAGGATGTGGTTTTTCAGTTTCCTGGAAACTTCCTGGTACATACTGGAACCTGGCTGCCCATCTGCAGGGATTTTCCCAATGGCCTCTGCAATGTTAGAGGAACAGCCCACAAGACAGCCCTCATCTCTGACACCAATTGCAAGTTTAGAGGTCCCCAGAACCATTCTTACTTTCTGTAATTCTGTAGAAGGATGCATAGCATGTACCAAAAGTTGTTTTTTACATGGTACAGTTTATTATAGTTAAATAATACAGATTAAAATTAGCCAAGGGAAGTGGCACATAGGGAAGAATTCAGGATAATTCTACATGTGGAACTTCTGTTTTCCTCTTCCCTTGGAGTCACGGAGAGTGTTACTCTTTTGGCATCAACATGACAGTATGCACGGAGCATTGCCAACCAGGGAACACACCTGAGCCTAGGTATTCAGATTATTTTGATGGGGGGCTCCATCACATAAGTGAGGCTGATTCTACTCTCCAGTCCAATCTTCAGCTGGAGGTTGAGCTGCCTCAGCAAGACCCAAAGTCCCTACTGTGTCACATTGTCACATCATACTAACTTGTATGACCCAAGGTCCTAGGCAAACCAAGACACTCCTTTCAGGACTTGACATTCCAAGAGCTTAGAGATGACCTCCCAGAAAGAAGCCCAGGGCAAAGGCCAGACTCTCTTTGGGTAAGGTTAATTCTTTTCTACACAGCCTCTCTTTGCTTGCCTGTATCTTCTGTGGGGTTTCTCATGCCAGCTGCAGAAATGTGTTCCACTGAGGTGGGTTGTTCTGGAGCTGTAGAAGGCAGTTGGCAGTAGTGAAAATGGAGGTGAGAGAACCACAGACGAGGGAGGAGGCGAGGAAATAGCTGTAGTTGGCAAGGAAGGGGATCTGCTATGAAGAAGTATGCCGAAAGCTTACGTATGAATAGACTGGGAGACATGAAACCCAATGGATTTATTGGTAAGTGAAATACTGTTTTAGGTTGTGATTTACTCTTTCATTTTGTCCATCAGGTGGGTGTTAAACTGAGGATAAATATATCTTAACCTTTAGGAGTGAGAACTAGTTTTGCCAAAAAGGCAAGATGCAGCAGGGTCACAGTTAGAAATAACTTGCTCTGGAGTCAGTGGAGGTTTTGCTTTTGTTGTATATCCGTATAGGCAGTAGAGATACCACGTTGCATGGGAGGAAATGGACTCTGTTTTGCGAGCGTGTCAATAGTAATGACTATTATGATGATAAATAATAAAGGCTGCCATTTATAGAGTGCTTCCAAGCACCAAGCATTGTTAAATTATGTACCAACATTATCACATTTAATTATTTGAATATCACGAATGGGGTAGATATTATTCTCTGAGTTTTATACATATGAAAATTAAGCTTCTGAGTGGTCAAACAATTAGCTTAAATACTCACAGGTAACAAAGCCGGGATTCAAACCTAGATCTTTCTGACTTTATACTCAACCTGCTGCAAGTCCCCGTGAGGGACATGTTTAACACGACTTTGCAGGTAGAGATAAACCTCTGGTTTCCTAGTTTGGTCTTTCATGTGTTTATTTCAAGAGTGCCTTCACAACTGTGTATCTGCTAAGACTGAGGCTGGGTGCACCAAGAGCCTCAGTCTTGAAAGGCCTTGAATGGGACCATAATGATTGGGTGGGGTGGGACAGGGCTGAGTTTCATGGCTTCAGGGCAGTGGTGAAGACTTTACCTCAAGGGACTCCCTAGCTCACAGGGTGAGGTTGCATGTTCAGACCTGTTCATCTACACCAGGAAGGAGATGGTTTATATTTGCTCCTGGGAGAAGGGATCTTTCCAGGATGGGACTCACAGATTAAGAATATTAAACAGATAGGAATAGGCAGTGTTGCAATTCTCTAAGGCTGTCTCATTAATTATTCTGTCTCCAGCATCTAGCACAGTACATAGCACCCTGGATAGGGTTAGTGAATATTTGCCGAATAACCAAGTGGGTAGATACACAAGGCAGTTAGGTGGGGCACATCTCTTTTGGGATTGGGTTGGGTGAGGAACAAAGAAGGAAAATCAGCTTTCCCACCACCATGTATGTTTTCAAAAGGCTTCCAAGTACTTTCAAAATAACACTTGACATTTGTAGTTTAAGGTAAACTGTATAGTTTAAGGTGTTTTCATGTACATCCTTCGGGACTTGCTGAAGGCCACGTAACTCACAGAGAACCGAGATCTTGTTTCTTTGGAGAGGCATTGTGACAAAAGGTCTGGGTTTCCCCAGCTGAAGGCTCTTTGCTAGCTGGGCTAAAGCTCACCCTCATTCACCAGCATTGAATGTGATGCCTGGCTAAGGGACCAGAGTTCCCCGTGAGCTTGTCCTGAGTGGTGGAATTCCTCCTGCTCACCATCTAGCCTATGCTGGAACACATCAACTCTCCTGGCAGCAGAGACCTTAACCCAGAGGCTGTTCAGGGACTAGATGAGAAAATGTCTCTTAAAGACCCTCTTAAATGCCTTAAGAAAAATACTGAAATTTGAAGCCCCAAAAGGTGCTATAGCCTTGAGCAGCCCCTCTTCTGGTGTGACTCCTTGGGACTTCCCTCTATGGGGGAGGATCATTGCATTCATCTTCCAGGCTCCTTCAGAAGCCACCTGGACCATGATTAGTAACTGCCTTGCTCAGCGGCCAAGGCATGCCTGAGGCTGGACACCTCACCCCACTGACTCTGGAACATTGAGTAGAGAGAGAAGCCTCATTTCTGGTGCCCATCAATTATCTGTTAGTAACTCAGAATCCTGGGTATAACTGCTTTCCCAACAAATGTGCACTCCGAGCTGTTCATTCTGGAAAACCCAGTGTCAATGGAGTGTTCCTGGTGGGTTCAGCTCTGCATATTCCCTACCTCAGGAGGATTAACCAAGGTGTGGTTCCCACAGGCTTTTGGCTTAAGGAAGGCTATGAGAATCTCCTAGTAGGCTAGAGACCACCTCTGGAGATCTTGAGCAAGTCTTGGCCACACCTGTTGCAGCTTCTTTGCAAGCCATTGGTGCCTTTAGTCTCAGGGGGCCTCGGGACTAAGGATTACTTGTATAACGCTGTGGCATGAAACGGGAGTTATTATTTACAGGACATTTTTTCAGAAATACTGCATTTCTGTTGATTGACGATGAAGTTGTTACTCACATGGGAAGCATTGTTAACTGAGATAGGAGAGGACACCCAGACCTGGGTTAGGGAGCATTTTTCAATGTTCTTACCAGAGTTGAATTTTCTGAAGATATGGCTGGCCTAGATCCTGAGAGCTGTTCACAAGCCCATAGGGCCTGCCTCTCATTTCTCTGAAACCAGACAATGCTGCTGGGGGCTTTGCCCTTGGTCAGGGTGACAAGAGTAGGTTCCAGGTATGTCACCTGCCCTTTCCTGCTACCTGAAGAGGTGAGTATAGAGCGGGAGGAATGTGACAACACAAAGCAGTCTCCCATGACAGCCAATCTGGAGCTAAGAGCTTGTTGGCCAGGGGAATTCAGCCAACAAGTGAAGCTCTGTAACCTTTCTTGATTCTGTCTCCTCGTTTCTGGGCCCTCTACTCACCTCAAATTTCTACGCTTAATGGCTTTTCCTGTGTATCCTAACAAGGCATTAAATAATTGTTAAATTTCTTCCCACTAAAGTAGTAGGAACTTGAGAGAATCCTACCTAGAATCCAGCTTTTGCTTTCTTAGAGATAACTGAAATGAGAGGACATTGCCTAATTCAAAACAAGGCCCAGCCAGTTATGGATTTGGGGGCCTTGGTAATGGAGAAGATATTTGAGGGTGACCCTCATTAGCTCATCATATTGTTGGCTTCCCTCAGCCTCCTCTTCCTCTGCATTAGGTTGGCCCTGGCTTTGAGTTAACATCCTCCGGGGCACAGGTTTGGATGTGGGCATCCCCAGTTAATGGACTGACATTAAGCATCAGGCTGGAAACCAAGCCATGTCTGCAGAGATGCAGGAGTGGCTATGGAGCCTTGCGTGCTTCAGGCTTCACCGGCACTGCCACAGTCTTCTCTGGGCTTTTCCAGCTTCCTTGCTCCAGCACTTAGGACATCCGTATATTTAATTTATGGTAGATCCCTGTCTAGAACAGCTTTCCTTTAAAAGCCTCTGAAGGGCTCTACTGGCCTGATTCTCTATTCCTCATCATATAATTGGGGGATGGGGCGACAAAGGGGCCAGGCTGGTAACCATTTCCTCCTCAGAACATAGCAGGTGCCTGTGCAGATGTTCCTTAAATATTCTCATAGTTCACCCTGAAGGTCAGCGTTGGAGCTGATAAAGGGGCACGAGGCTGATTCCAGCCCATTTGTGGCTCTGTCTCCCTTGCCACTCTGCTTGTGTAGAGCTACAGAGTTACATAGAGCCCATGCAAGCATTCTACAAAAAGTTCACGGAAAATGCATGTTATGAAAACTATGCAATAGATTTCAAAATTTTTTTTGCACCAAACTAAAGTCGCACCAACATGCAATAATAACATGTTCGAACAGGACCCAGTTTGAAGCACTAAGAAGAATAAGATATTAGTTTGAAAAAAGCCCCTATCAGAGCAATATGTATTCTGTTAAAATTGAAGCAAGAACAAGCATCCAATTTATGGTGAAACGTGAGTGGCAGAATGGTGAAATCATTGATGTTTTATGAAAAGCTTATGGGGAAAGTGCCCCAAAGAAATCAGCAGTTTACAAATGGATAACTTGTTTTAAAAGGGTTGAGACAATGTTAAAGATGAAGCCTGCGGCAGCAGGTCATACACATCAATTTGTGAGGAAATAATTCGTCTTATTCATGCTCTAATTGAAGAGGACCCTCGATTAACAGCAGAAACAGGAGCCAACACTAGAGACACCTGAACTGGTTCAGCTTATACAATTCTGACTGAAAAATTAAAGTTGAGACAACTTTTCACTCAATGAGTGCCCAAATTGTTGCACCCAGATCGGCTGCAGACAAGATCGGAGCTTTCGGTGGAAATTTTAAGCAAGTGGGATCCAGATCCTAAAGGATTTTTTCCAAGAATTCTAACAGGAGATGGAACCGTGCTTTACCACTTGATCTTGAAAACAAAGCACAATTAAAACAGTGGCTTCTAAGAGGGGAAAGTGAAAGCAAGAGCAAAGGTCATGCCTCAGTTTTGAGATGCTCAAGGCATTTTGCTTATTGACTTTCTGGTGGGCCAAAGAGTAATAACACCTGCCTATCGTGAGAGTGTTTTGAGAATGTTAGCAAAGGTTTAGCAGAAAACGCCAAGGTGGAGAGAGTTCTCTACCACGGCAATGCTCCTGCTCATGCCTCTCGTCAATCAAGGGGATTTTGCAAGAGCTTCAGCAGGAACATCATTAGGCATCCCATTTACCTTACAGTCCTGATTTGGCTCCTTATGATTTCTTTTTGTTTCCTAATATTTTTCCTTTTTTTAAAAAGACTGAGTCTCACTTTGTTGCCCAGGCTGGAATCCAGTGGCGTGATCTTGGCTCACAGCAACCTATGCCTCCCAGGTTCAGGTGACTGTTATGCCTCAGCCTCCCAAGTAGCTGGGACTACAGGTGCATGCCACCATGCCCAGCTAATTTTTGTGTTTTTACAAAATGAGAGATGGGATTTCACCATGTTTGCCAAGCTGGTTTCAAACTCCTGATTTCAGGGGATCCTCCCACCTCAGCCTCCCAAAGTGCTGGAATTATAGGCATGAGCCACTGTGCCTGGCCTTTGTTTCCTAATTTTAAAACAGCTTTAAAGAGAATCAATTTTTCTTCAGTTAGTAATGTTAAAAAAAAAACAACAACAACAAAAAAAACTGCTGACATGCTTACATTCCCAGGACCCTCAGTACTTTAGGGATGAACTGCATGGCTGATATCATCTCTTCCAAAAGTATCTTGAGCTTGATGGAGCTATGTTGAGAAATGAAGCTTATGTTTTTTATTTTTAAATTTAAATTTAATTTTTTTCATGAATTTTTGGAGTCTTGTGTTTCTTGCTTGTCAACAGTATGAAATGCAGTGACTGGCTAGATATTCATGATAGGATAGATTTCCCTGGATACTGCTGACTTTATGTCTTTTGAATGGAGAACTGCGGTGCGTGAAGTACTACTGAAAGAATCGTGTGGCTTTGCGGCCAGGCATGTTGGCTCACACCTGTAATTCCAGCACTTTGGGAGGCCAAGGCAGGCAGATCATTTGAGACCAGGAGTTCAAGACAAGCCTGGCCAACATGGTGAAACCCTGTCTCTACTAAAAATACAAAAATAAGCCAGTCCTGGTGGTGCATGCCTGTAATCCCAGCTGCTCAGAAGGTTTAGGCAGGAGAATCACTTGAACCTAGGAGGCAGAGGCTGCGGTGAGCCAAGATTGTGCCACTGCCCTCCAGCCCAGGCGACAGAGTGAGAATCAGTCTCAAAATTAAAAAACAAAAACAAAAACAAGAAAACCCAACCAACAAACAACAACAAAAACAACAAAAAAGAATTGTGTGGCTTTGGAAGAATATAGTAGCGGAAGTAAAGACCTTTGAGGAAGCACCCAGTTCAAAGCTCTGATCTTTGTATGGTCAGTACACAGCCCTGGGAGCACCTGGTTCAAGCCCAGACACTCAGGTAGGTACAGACAGTCTACAGCTTTGGGGAGCACCTGGTTCAGGCCCAGAAGCTCAGGTGGGCAGTCGATACCTCTAGGAAGCATCTGCTGTAGGTGGAACAATCTTGGCTCGCCACAGCCCTAGCTTCCTGTGCTCAAGCGATTCTCCTGCCTAGGGACAATAAGAAGCTGACATTTGAGAATTTTCTGTAGGTAGGTTCTCTTGATCCTAAAGATTCGTGCAGTATGGTAACAGGTGTATTCAGCCACCTTTTAACATTATTTCTGGTTGTGAATTGCATTCACCAAGAGTTGTTTCACTACTTTGAATGATTACTTTGTTGCTATTCTTTCCAGTCTTGCTCAAAGCATCATTTCTAATTAAAATATGGGCTTTTTAAAAACACTGTAGGATTTGAGTTGAGGTTCAATCAAAATGATGCAGAGAAAGATAAATTCTCTTCACAAGCCCCCAGAAACCAAAGCACAGCTCTTGCTAGCCTTTGCTGCTAAATGTTGTCATGTCCTTAGTCACTATGTTGTTCTCTCTCTAGAGTCAGAAAAGAAAATGCCACTGCACTTTGGCCACTGAGTTATCTTGCTTAGTTCAGGTATGTAAGAATGCTTCCATCTATTGGCCTCTTTGGTCTCTCCTGTTCTTTCCCAAGCCTTCTGGTTCTTTTCACTTCCGTATATTTCTGCTGTACCATCTTCAACATTGTGGATGGTAGCACAAGCTGACAGTCAGCTACATTGCAGGCCTTCTCTTTCCCAAGTCCTCTAAGCCAGGTACATTCAATATGGGCGCAAAAGTCTCCCCTGGGACTTCGAAGGGACAGCTGATTGTCTCCTTCCTTTGTTGCCCCGAGTAGCAGAGGAGTCCCTACCCCTGCAATGGCTCCCAGGTGAGACGTGCTGCTGTATCTGGTACCAGTGAGCATTGCTCCTTCACCCGTTTTCTGAGAGGCTGGGGTTGGGGTGAGGAGGAGTCCTGCTTCAAAATCTCCCCACGTCCCAAGCATTGTAGCCGCTACTCTCAGTCATCTCTGCCTTCAGTAAACTCTTATTTCCTGTCATTTCCTGAGGGGAAGGAATGAGTGGGCAAAGATTGTAAGGCACCATTCCCAAGTATTTCCCTGGGTTGGTTTCCTTCTGACTTTCCTCTTAGGAGCTTTTTGGTGTAAAGAGTGTAACTGGCCTAGGAGCTGGGCAAGGGTGAATGGACTCCATTTCTCACGCTCATCATGAGATGGGCCCAGTGCATAGAAAGAGTCTGCTGGCGTTGACCATGGTCCCTTTTTGTGAATCACTCCCTTACATTCATTTTCATGAAAGGCACTGTGGAGCTTGGTGACCCATTTCCTTTCTCTGGTCATTAGTTGCTGTTTCAAAACAAGATCCTCTGTCGTTGATCCTGACTCCAGCATTGAGCTCACCTCAAGGGTTGCCCATGCTCGTTCACAACCTGGAAAGTGTAACAATACTGAACACTGCCTGCAGGCTTACCCTTAGTTCCACGTATGGCACTGCCTAGGGCTTCACTTGTAGTATCTCCTCTATTCTCCATGACCATCCTATGAGCCAGGCTCCTCTAGTATCTCTCTTTTAAACATGAGAATATGGTGGCTCGGAAAAGTGAAGCAACTTGCCCATGGTCACACGGCGTGTAAGTGTCAGCATTTAAACTTGCATTTTCAGCTTGCAGGTTTGCTATGGTGTCTCATCTTCATGCCCTTGCACGCATTGTCCCGTTGCTTGGGCCTCCTCCTCTCCATGCGTCAGTGCTCAGCTCAAATCCTACCACCTCTTTGGACATCCCAGACAGAAGTGATCTCTTCTGTGGACTCATGTAGCTCACATAGCTCAAACTGCTTACCATTCACTGCCTTGTGCTGCTTCCCAATTGGGTGGCACATTTTCTGAGGGCAATTCCTAATGCATTTCCCATGTCGTGTGGTGGTTAGCATACATTCCCACACAATCTTATGTTTGACAAATCCTGGTTGTTGATTATGTTACTTTAAATTTGGGCCATTACCTATGAAAACAGGAATGCAACTCACTGAATTGATATTGTGTAAAGCAATTTGAGGATTTTACTAACAGTTCACTTTTCCAATTCCCCCTTATTTAAGAAATAATTTAGTTCTAAAACAAGGAATGATATATGGCTATTTCCATGAAGTGATTCACTGAAACCAAGGAAAATGGTTTAAACTTTCTAAAGTCAAATCTACAAATAACATTCAGTGTCAACTATGCTGTTTCCCTGGCAAAAACAAAATCTCCATTTTGAAATTTAACTGTTGGGTTGTTCTACCAGAGATCCTGAGAGCCTTGGTGCTGGGGATTATGTCAGTAATGCCCCCAAATCCAGAGATTCTGAGAGCTCCCCTCTACACATCAGCCTGTGGGCTGCTCTTCCCATCCACCCTGAGCAGCGTAGGCACTGCTTCTCATTGATGCTTTTAAACATGACTTGCGGACAAGATAATAGCAACTTGATTTTCAGCCATTAAGGAGAACAGTATGAAGGTTCCTCAAAAAATTAAAAATAGAACTACTATACTATCTAGCAATTCTCTTCTGGGTGTGTATCTAAAGGAACTGAAATCAGCCTGTCAAAGAGATATCTGCACTTCCATGTTCATTACAGTATTATGCACACTAGCCAACATACCGAATCAACCTCTGTTCATCAATGTATGAATAAAGAAATGTAACGTGTGCACATACATACACACAATGGAATATTATTTAGCCATAAAAGGAAGGAAATTCTGCCATTTGCAACAACATGTATAAATCTGGAGAACATATGCTAGGTGAAATAAGCCAGGCAAAGAAAGACAAATACCACATGATCTCATGTATATGTGGAATCAAAAAAGTCAAACTCATGGAAGCAGAGTAGAATGATGCTGACCAGAGGACAGGAGTGGGAGAATGGGGAGATGTTTATCAGAATATAAACTTTCAATTATAAGATGAACAACTTCTGGGGAGCTCATGTATAGCATAAGTGGTGATGGATGTATTCATTAATTTGATTGTGATCATTATTATGCAATGTCTACATGTATCAAATTATCACATTGTGCACTTTAAATATGTTTGCTCTTTATTCATCAATTAAATATTAAAATAAAAAAATACTACAGAAATAAAATTTGAAACCCTGAGGGTCCTTGGAATATAATAAGTGAGTGAGAAGTGGCGACATTTTTGAAGAAACGTTAAGGCACAGGTATGATGCTGACCTAGGACATAATTTAAAAACCAAATCAAAACACAGCATTCTACAAGTAATAGAATAGTGATTATTAATCATTTAAGCATTTACTATTTCAGAAAATTGACCAGTAGTTATGACTGCACAGAGTGTGCACTTGTATTTATTTTCTCATTGGCTTCAGTTGTAAGCACACAAGCAGGTCTGCCAGAATTTCCCTTGCCTGAGGCTTTCATGGCTCCCACCATCTGCATACAGGTACTAGCAATGCC